CACCGTCGTCCACTGCTGGAGAAATCTACTTGCAATAAGGGAAGTGAGGGAGAGTTGAGCCAATTTTCATTTTTTTGTCCAGGAATGTATGCAGAATGGCGTCTACCACGTCGGGTGGAAATGAAGGGGGAACCCAAGATAAATACATTTTTTTTCCCCTCTTGTTAGTTTTTGTATACTTGCTCGTGTGTAAGAATCAATTTGGAATTTTGTGTCGTGTTTGTGGATGTTGTTGGTGGTGGTTGTGGGTATCTGCCCGTTACTCTCGGGCAGTTACTTGCCCAGTGACCGGGCACTCCACAGGAGTGACAGGCCACTGGACGGTTTGGTAGTGTTACTTGTATGTCGATTAAATCTGGGGTTTTTTCGGTGTTGTCTAATGTTACTTGTACATAGTGTGGAATGTCGTCTTCTTGGAATTCTGCTAGTATTAGGTGTCTGTCTGCGTTGTGGTTGTTTCTTTGTGGTATGATTTTGATCGGTTTCTCTTTTTCGAGGAATGTGTAGAGTATATCCTCCACCACATCTGGTGGAAAAGATGGGGGCACCCATGACAGGTACAATTTTTTCTTCTCTCTGGTTAGTTTTTGAATGTATGCGTGTGTGTATGAGTCGATTTGAAAGTGTGTATCGTGGAGCAGTGTTTCTGGTACTGTGTCTACAAGTGTTAGGTATATGTTGAAGGATGTTGGGTTTCGGTATATGCTCACCACGTGTTCCTCTTTCAGTCCGTACCTCGTTGTTATCTCGTCGATCATTTGTGGGTTCCGTATCCGTCCAGCTCCTTTTCCGGTCAGCTTTATTATGTAGGTGTTTTCCTCATGTCTGATCAGCTCGGGTCGTTCGGTATATTTCCAGCTTGTCTGGAAAATCATGGCTCCGGCCTCAGTTTGGAAAAATAACAAGAAAATGAGAAGTAATAAAGGTTAGATACTAGCCTGTTTGTATTTATCTAAGTGCAGTCAGGCTTAGACAGTCCGACGTCGTGTCCTTGGGAAAGACACTTTACACGAACTTCCCACTTGGCTCGGTCCAATCGGAGACGGACGTTAAACTAGGAGGTCCCGCCTCTTAAATAACCTAATACTGTTGATAGGGGCGTTAAACTCATACCATTTCATTTCAGGTATCGACAGACAGTCATGAATACTCTCAAAATTGTACACATAGATAATATAATATTATCTATCATCTACAGACATTCTCAAAAACAGATGTTCTGTTGTTCCCTTTGTCAAACTTAGTGCAGTTGCATTGTTCGTCAACTAGCATTTATGCGTGTGTACATGTGTAATGTTATCATGTATGCTTCACTGAACAAAGAAGTATTTAAGTTCATGTGTTCCAAGATGGGCTGTACAATATTTAAATGTACTTGTTGTTTGCTGATTTGTGATAATAAACATGCATTGTTCGCTTTATTTTGTCTGAATTTGTGGGTTTTTTGCCCTCATTGTTTGGGAAAACTTTACATCATTACCTTCATTCATCACTGTCTAAATATGTTGAAATAAGAGGTTTTCAATAGAAGCAAAGAACTATTTGTGAGGCAGCGTGGCGCTCGTTAAAATAATCAAAATGAAACAAGCAAGCATTTTTCTGCAGGTTTCTTAACTTTTATCGAATTTTTTATTTTTAGCTCAACACCTTTCATGCGCATTAAACAACACATTTCTGTGTGGATTTGACTAAAAAATAAGGCACAAAAAATGTAAATGTTCAGTTTCCACGAATTCTCAAGCTAAGGATATAACTAATCTTTGGCTGCCATTTCCTCACTAAGTTTACCTCTGAAACCAAAAACTCAACATGCCCAAAAATTGACGAGAGCCTGCATTCCACTGTGTCGTGCCACATTTTATTCAGACAGGATATTAGTGTAATACAAAAAGTTCACTTTGGTCAAGACCACTAATAGTAATTTGAGAAGACGGATGAGAGCAGTCGATGCGCCTCATCCACCTGTACAACATACCTGGCTTTCTTCTTCTGTTTTTGTGTTGTTGTTGACATTCTACACTGTTGAATGACTGGGACAACGTGTGTAGTACATGTACTCGTAATAGCATAAATCTTGGGGGGGGGAGGACTGTGACTGAGTTACTGAACTACATCTTTGTTGGAAATTGGTAACGTCTTTAAATGCTAACGTCTTTAAGTGCCTAACTGAATGCCACTCTGAGTATCACAGTGGATTGGAATAATAATAATAGGAAGAAGAAGAGGAAGAATAGCACATGTAATTGCATTATATAGCGCATAATATCTATGCTCTGCAGTATGCCCTATGCCTTCGACAGCTAGTATTATAGAAATACATCCATATTATTAACTAAAATTATTACAGAATATCATATTATAGGACTATGCAAATAATCAGCGGGGAAAAGGGAATTTATTTGAAAATTTTCAAGACTTTAAGCTTAAACTTTATTTCGAATTTACCAGACAGTATGGTCGAGCTAGAAGTTTATGTTGGTGAATACATGAATGGCTGTGTAGGGGTGGGGGATGAGATATACCATAATAACTAAGTCATTGTGTTTTGGGGTTGTTTGTTTGGGGGGCGGGGGGTGCTTGTTTGTTTCGTTGGGGTTTAGTTTTTTTGTTGTTGTTGGGGGGGGGGGGGGGGTTTCATTGTTATGGAGTACATTACAATTACATCACTATGAGAGGTAAAGAAACATTGATTGTGTGATATTAATTTAATAAATTAAACACCAGGTGAGAATCGAGCTGACATCTGTTGCGTGCAAAGACACATTTTTCAGTGTACAGTAGATGTTGGCGGGTGCTCTGGTGTGGTTTGCTTCTTCTTTCCTATCACTATCAAACATTATATCGTCTTTATCTCCCCTCCTTCTTTGTGTTTGTTGCTCTTTTGTAACACCTCTAATCTTCGGCACTTTTATGACCCTTATTGCGCTGCAAGGCTCTAAAACATTACTTTACTATAAGTACTAAAACAGTAGATGTTTCTTACACCCAGTGGGTGGTTGGCGGGTGCTCTGGTGTGGTTTGCTTCTTCTTCCCTCTATGGAACATCTATCGTCCTTATCTCCCCTCCTTCTTTTTTATGTTTGTTACTCTCTTGTAACACCTCTAATCTTCTGGCGCTCATATGACCTTTTGCAGTTGCGAGCGCCGTAAAACCTCTACTAAAACAAACAAACAAACAATTTTACACCCATATCGACCCAATTTCGACCATTAAGGAGGCGGTCTTTGACAGGGCCAACCCAGGCTGGGCTGAGAGAAATACATCGTCCATGCACAAGGACAAAGTCGCTCGGTAAGAATTTTCACCGATCGAGAATCGAACTCGGGTCTTCTTCGTGTGACAGCGAATCACATGACTACACTACACTACAACCGCGAAGATCCAAACCATTGCACAATAACCTGTCCCCGTGGTTTTATGCGCCCCGTATAATCTAGCGAAGTTTGATTAGTTTTTGCAGAATTTCTGATTATTTGCCCTTACCATTCTTTGTTAAAAATTAACAGAATCGCATCATTTCACATTTCTGGGCTCATTTTGAATAATTTCATAATTTTTCTGGCATAAAACGACGGGGACAGAATAACACAGAGGTAAAGACACAATGGATATTAAATAATGAGGAAAAGGAGGTGCTGTCAGGTCACCAGATCAAACTTCAGCAAGTTCTCAACCATAGCGAAATTATCCTTTTGTAAACGTTACTCTCACCGTACAATAGTAATGTCTCACCGTACAATAGTAATGCCCACCCCAAAAAGTGAAAAAAAAAAAAAAAACCAATGAAAAATGAGTAAGTTATGGCCCACATCCCCTCCCCACTACCCCCGCATCCAAAGTCCTGCTACACGACGATTTTTTAAATAAAGTAATTCGCAAAGATAAGACTTCTTTTACTTCTACTGCTATTTCTCAGTGGTCGTATTTTTCTTCAGCCCCAATGAGCATGGCTCGTTTCTCCATGGTGAAGGGGGCGGGCGGGGGTAACACTATGGCTCGTCCGCCAGCTCTACAAATTAAGGAAGCTTTAACTTTACTGAATCAAATTCTTCTGCTATCGTTCCGCTCTGAAAAGATTCTGAAGAGTAAAGTCATATTTCTTTCTCTATTGTGTGGAGGCCTGTTAAAGTTAAAGCTGAGAAAAAGAGAAACGGGACGTTACGTTGTGGATTGAACCCCCCCCCCCCCCCCCCCAAAAAAAGAAAGAAAAACCCAAACAAAAAACGTGACTTCTTGAAAGTAGTGCTGGGTGAAATTGTAGGTAAAGGTTAACTTCCCTACCAAAGCTATTGTTATTTAAGAGGCGGGACCTTTGATCTGTCGGGTTGAGTTGAGCATTGTCAGCCAGTCTGTCGGAACTTACGGTCCGAAACATTACTGCTATAGTAGTGGACCAACACCCAGTATTGAATGAATGTTCACGTAGTGAAAAAAAAAAGCCCATTCCATCTTCAGAACCATAATATTATGCGCAGATCTGTT